GTGTCACCACCCTCTGCTTGCTGGACCTCCCTTCTTGGCAGTAGAGTAGGGGCACGCCACACATTCAAGAGTTGTCATGAGGGCGATCTGAGGCAAGATGGCACACAGGCGGCCGTCAGCAAAGGGTTTCCTTTTCTTCTCCAAGTATGGCTTGGCTCCTGGGCCTCCGCCATGTCTGAGGCCATGACCCCAGCCAGGCAGCCGATGAATGTGGGCACCGAATCAAGCTCACCCTTGCCATCACCCCAAAAGCTGGTGGCCACCAAAGAGGCCCGCCCACACTGGCTGCTGCTCTTGTAGCTGTCCCCAGTGACAGCAGCTGGTGATGAGGATGGCTTTTCTTGGTCGGGGTGGACACTCAGGGCTGCCACCCCCTGTGTCACGGGACCTTCGTGAGGGGCCCTATAAGGCAAGCACACATGCTGGTCTCACTGACAGGTGCCACTCGGAGTGATGCCACTCCTCCAAGGTCACGCCTGCCCATGCTTCCCCTGCAGGTGCCTCCTCTTGTGCAGTGGAGACAAATTAAGACTTTTCCAAGAGGACTCTTACCAGGGAAGAACATGAGAAATACAAGAGTGAGGATATGGATGAATAGGAAGAGATCAGACTCCTCCAGACGCCCCTGATGTCTGCCTGGTGTGTGGGTGCCTTGACTCCGCCTCGAGGGGGTTGGACGCTCAGCCAAGCCACTCAGACTTTAGTCTGGAGCAGATTTCCGCATTGCCAGTAGGATTCCCAGTGTTTCCCCAAACTTGCTGAGCCAGGGATGAGCCCTCCCTTGGTTTCTGCTGCAAACACAGGTGAGGAAGGCACTTTTCCATGGGGTTCTTCACTGGCTTCAGGCCAGCACCGAACCCATGCCTCCCTTTCTTTGCCCTTTTGAGTCCTTGCCCCGACTTGCTTTTTGTCATTGGATGACATCCATTGACTGTGTCCTCCATGCCAGGCTCTTCCAGGCATGGAAGAGGTAAAGGAGACAGGTAAAGGAGACAGGTAAAGGAAACAGGTAAAGGAGACATCACCTCGCCCCAGAACAGTTCAAGGTTTAGGAAAGTGGTGGGGTGGGGTGAGGGAACAGGCATTACAGTTTAGTCTAAAAGGTGTAATGAAAGCTGTGTGAACACAGATGGTTTAGACGTGTGCATATGTGTGTGTCTGTATGTCTGTGTTAAGGGAGAGTGAGAGAGAGATTGAGATAGAGAAATTGATAAGGCAGATGGGTTAAAATGTAAACAGTTGCTGAATCTAGGTAAAGAGCATTATGGGAATTCCTCTTAGGAAAAACCAAGCTGGTACATACAGGCAACAGATTGGTTGGTTGCCAAAGGTGGGGTAGGGGGTGGGGAAGTAAGTGAAATGGGTGAAGGGGGTCAAAAGGTACAAACCTCCAGTTACAAAATAAGTAAGGCACGAGGATGTAATGTACAGCATGGTGACTATGGTTAAGAATACTGTGTTGCATATTTGAAAGTTGCTAAGAGAGTAGATCTTAAAAATTCTCATAAGAAAAGGAAGGTGGACCTATGTGTAGTGATGAGTGCTAATCAGACCTACTGGGGTGATCATTTCGTAATATATACACATGTGGAGTCATTATGTTGTACACCTGAAATGAATATAATGTTGTATGTCAGTTATACCTCAATAAGAAAAGAAAAGTAGCTGACTGAATAAATCCATCACCTGGAGATGAAAACAATGTTTTGTAACTTGCCTGTAGGTTTGAAATTAGATCAAAACGAAAAAAATACAGGGGTGCCCGGGTGGCTTAGTTGGCTGAGCGTCTGACTTTCGATATCGGATCAGGTCATGAGGTTGGTGAGTTCGAGCCCTGCGTCGGGGTCTGTTCTATCAGCGCTGAGCCTGCTTGGGCTTTTCTCTGTCCCTGTCTCTTTGCTGCTCTCCCGCTCATGCTCTCTCTGTCTCTCTCAAAAAATAAATAAACTTAAAAAAAATTACAAAAATATTGGCACAAAAACAGACACTCAGATCAATGGAACAGAATAGAGAACCCAGAAATGGACTCACAAACGTATGGCCGACTAATCTTTGACAAAGCAGGAAAGAATATCCAATGGAATAAAGACAGTCTCTTCAGCAAGTGGTGCTGGGAAAACTGGACAGCGACAGGCAGAAAAATGAACCTGGACCACTTTTTTACACCAGACACAAAAATAAACTCAAAATGGATGAAAGACCTCAATGTAAGACAGGAAGCCATCAAAATCCTCGAGGAGAAAGCAGGCAAAAACCTCTTTGACCTTGGCCGCAGCAACTTCTTACTCAACACGTCTCCGGAGGCAAGGGAGGCAAAAGCAAAAATGAACTACTGGGACCTCATCAAAATAAAAAGCTTCTGCACAGTGAAGGAAACAATCAGCAAAGCTAAAAGGCAAACGAAGGAATGGGAGATGTTTGCAAATGACATATCAGATAAGGGGTTAGTATCCAAAATCTATAAAGAACTTAACCAAGCTCAACACCCAAAAAACAAATAATCCAGTGAAGAAATGGGCAAAAGACATGAATAGACACTTCTCCAAAGAAGACATCCAGATGGCCAACCAACACATGAAAAAATGCTCAACATCACTCATCGTCAAGGAAATACAAATCAAAACCACCATGAGCTATGCTCTTACACCTGTCAGAATGGCTAACATAAACAACTCAGCAACAACAGATGTTGGCGAGGATGCGGAGAAAGAGGATTTCCTTTGCACTGCTGGTGGGAATGCAAACTGGCGCAGCCACTCTGGAAAACAGTATGGAGGTTCCTCAAAAAATTAAAAATGGAACTACTCTATGACCCAGCAATTGCACTACTAGGCATTTATCCAAGGGATACAGGTACGCTGTTTTGAAGGGGCACATGCACCCCCATGTTTATAACAGCGCTATCAACAATAGCCAAAGTATGGAAAGACCCCAAACGTCCATCGATGGATGAATGGATAAAGAAGATGTGGTGTATACATACAATGGAGTATTACTCGGCAATCAAAAAGAATGAAATTTTGCCATTTGCAACTACGTGGATGGAACTGGAGGGCATTATGCTAAGTGAAATTAGTCAGAGAAAGACAAATATCCTATGACTTCACTCGTATGAGGACTTTAAGAGACAAAACAGATAAACATAAGGGAAGGGAAACAAAAATAATATAAAAACAGGGAGGGGGACAAAACAGAAAAGACTCATAAATATGGAGAACAAACTGAGGGTTGCTGGAGGGGTTGTGGGAGGGGGGATGGGCTAAATGGGTAAGGGGCACTAAGGAATCCAGTCCTGAAATCATTGTTACACTAAAAGCTAACTAACTTGGATGGAAATTAAAAAAAAAAAACAAATTAAAAATAAATAAAACGTTACAAAATAATCTAAACATTACAAAAACAAACGAACAAGACACGAAAAAGCCCCCAGCACAAGCAAAAAGCTTCAGAGGAAAAAGCAACCACCGGTTTGTAGGAGCTGGGACAATGCCGGGTGGAGAAAGAGGGGTGAATATTTGGGGTGGAGGAAACAGCATGTACAAAAGCACGGGGGTGTGAAAGAGCCTGACACTCTGCTGATCTGTCCACCACTGCACCTAAAACACCAAACACCTACTGCATGCAAGGACCTTCCTGTGCTTGGGGTCTGCCGTTCGAGCCTAGAATTCGGGGCTCCTCAGACAGCAGGTCCCAGAGCCTTGGCAGTGCACCATCGACCAAGGATATTCTCTGCTACCAGGCCACTCACTAGGTCTCTGCTGCTTCTCCAGAGCAGCGATATTTAGCAATGCCAAGCACGACGGTGCTTTTTGGCCTCTGCCAGCTCCCAGGAGAATTGCTTCCAAATTTCTATCACAGTTGGTTTCCAACAACATCCAAACGGTTTGCCACAAGCCCGGCAGCCCTCGCTGTCCAGGACCACAGGTGCCAAGACAAAGGTTGGCCCAGGCAATGCCCTCCTGCTGCCTAGCGAGTCAAAGGGCCCTGTCGACTGGTAGCAGCTCTGGAGTGTCAGTTTCAAGCTCAGGAAATAGAAAAAGAGGCAGCTGGTTTAGAGCACTTCCTCGAGGGCAGTGGCTTGACCCAGTGACCTCTCAAGGAGCCTTCCAGTTGCATGGAACGTTCTCTGCCCTGCCCACCTTCCTCTGGCTTAATGCCTTCTCAGATTTCTCATCTCCGCAGAGGGCCTAACTCAGGAAAGCTTTCTCCGAGCACCCGGCCCTGGCCAGGGGAGGAGTCCGCCCTTGTGCTCCCAAGCCTCCTGTGTTCCCCCCATCACAGCATTCTCTCACTGTGGGTGAGAGCAAGACCCTGGAGCTGGATCACATGGGCTCAAGCCCTGGCTCTGCCACTTGCCAGCTCTGTGACGTTGAGCGAGTTGCTTAACCTCCACGTGCCTCAGTTTCTTCATTTGCAACATGGAACCTTATCTCCATGGCCAGATGAGTTAGTATTTACTGAAAACAGTGTCTGGTCCCTAGTTTGTGCTATTGGTGTGTAAGCTACTGCCCCTCCTGGGCTTGCCCTGATGCCAGGAGGACAGAAGCGGGGTCTGCTCTTTCCTGGTCTCAGAGCAGGACGTGCTGAGGCTCCCCACATGGCTCATCAAGGACACAGACGAATGAGGTGGGCTCCCTCAGGAGGCCTGGTGTTCGGGTAAAAACAGCATGGGGCTGGGGGTCTGGGCCAATCCATCCTTTCCCCTGCCTGAGCCTCAGTTACTTCCTCTGTAAAATGGGGACAGCAGCCTGGGGACCAAAACACTGCAGACCGTAGAGTGTTGCCCCGCACAGAGAACAGCACCCCTCTGCTGGCCCTCCCCCCGCAACGCCCGTTCTGGCCCCTCTGCCCGCCTCCATCGGCGTCCTCGTGACCGTCCGGCAGCGTGCTGGTTTAGCCCGGTAAGTGACAGACGGCTCTGGCCACTCATGAGTGCGTGGCTCCCCTGCCAAGGCAGTGCTCTCCCCCTGCCCCACACCTCCCGCGAGCCCCTCCCTCACCTTGAGTCACCACCTTGCCGAAGACAGGCAGGGAGTCGAGCGTGGAGCAGTTCCAGCGCCGGTTCCGGAACTGGTACTGACACTCCTCGATGGCGAGCTGAGCACCTCGGCGCACCGAGTCCATTACCTCAAGGTTCCGCTTGCACATCTGCACCTGCCTCTGGATCAGGCCCTTGAGCTTCTCGCACGTCTCCTCCTCCGAGATGCTCCCCACGGAGGACAGCTTGGCCAGGTACCTGGGGAGAAGGCGGCGGGGTGGAGTGTGGTGCAGCGATCCCTCCCCCTCTCTCTGCTGCCGGGACGAGGCTGTGCCCAGCCCAGGTCCCTGGGAGCTGACTCATCCCGGTGGTGGCTCGTGGCTGTGCCTTCTCTCTCTGGATCCAGCGACAGGCCCTCTTGCCTGGCTTTTGGGACCAGAGGGGGGAAGTGCCGTCTCATCATAAGAAGGCTTCCGCCCCAGCCAAAGCAGGCCAAAGCACTGAGAGGGACGCTGACGGAGCCCCCACGGGACCCCTCCTGGCCCAGGGTGGCCCCTGCACCAGCGTCTGTACCCCAATGTTACGCCAGACTTGGCCCCCGGGCTCTGACCCCTTCACGTCCCTCTAGCTGGGACGCTAGAACCGCTGCACTCGTGTCTCTTTCCGCACCCCCAGGCAAGGACCCCAGTGAACGAAGCCCGCATTCTGGCTGCAAGGCCCAGACCCTCACTGTCAGCCACATCCCGGGGCACCAGACGGTGACCAGCATCAACTGCAGCTGGGGGACTCAAGATGATGAGTGCGTGGATGGTGGCAGGGGAGGAGGGCTTAAAAACAGTGTGCCGTGCTCGTCCCTCAGCCCCTGGAGTTTTTGTGGCTTGACGATGGGGCAACAATGCTGGTTCCATCTCATAGAATTATGGTGGGATCACAAGCTAGATACCTTATGTCAGGGAGCTCTGGGACCCGGCCTTTGGGGAGAAGGGGCTCTAAAGTGTCTACTTCAGGGGAGGACAGGAGGGAGCGCTGCTGTTCATTGGACACCCACTACGTGTCGTGCACGGTGGCGGTCACTATATTCTGCTGCACCCTTGCCTCCCATCTATGAGGTGGTAATTGTTATGCCCATTTTATGGATTCCAAAATGAAGGCTAAGAGGGTGACACAGATGGCAAGTGCCAGAGCTGAGCTTCAAACCCCTTCAAACCCTGTGGGCCTTCCCCCTGCCTGTCCTCCTCCATGGTAAGTTGAGGGGCAAGTTGAGGCTCTGTGTCACCTAAGGACAGACACTGTGATCGGGACCAGGAGGCCAGAGAGCCGGAAGCAAGACACATGAATGCTCACCAGGATGGGAGCAGAGCTAGGGAAAGGCCCTGTCAGGAAGAAGTGGTCCCTCCCAAGGGACAGAGGTGTGCATTGCCTGAACACCTACTAAGTGCCAGGTATGTTTCAGATAGGTGAAGTGACTGGCTCGGGGTCACCTGGCTTGTCTAGTTTGGAGGCAGATCTACTAGTTTGGAGCCCAGGTCCGGATAACCCCATGACTGTTCTAAGCACTGCCCCTCAGCCTGCCCCCCCCCTCCCCTCTAGCATCCTTGGCCAGGGCCAAGTGAACATAGTAGGTGCACAAGGGGGAGCTGAGTGCTGGGAGGAGAGCTGAGTGGTAACTCTGAAGGCCTCCTCTCCCTTTCCTTGCCCTCACTTCCCACCTGTTCAGTGGGACGTGATCTGCTCCCCTCCCAGGGCGGGGCTGGCAGGGGCTGCCTTCCAGGTCCTTGGAGGAGCAACAGAGTAGAGTATCGCAGACTTCCAGAATGCTCCCTGACAGATAGTCTGGTCCATTATACAGGTGAGCAGAGTGAGGGAAAGGGGCCTTCCCACCGTCTCCCAGGAGGAAACTCAGAGCCTGGCTCTACCCTTAGTCTCGGTCACACAACAGGGGCTCGAAACAAAGAGAGCGAGTATCCTGCTGCCCCCGACTCTATAGTGAGCCAGTCCCCCACCAGGAGCTTGGCCAGCCACCCTGGTCTGGGGGAGCTTTCTAGGCATGGAGGTGGAGATGCTTGGAGGTGATGAAGCCGCACAAATTTCTTGTCCATAGAAGGATCAAGGGGGAAGGCCCACTCCATGGGACTCAGTTTTCTCATCTGTAACGTGGGGAAGTTACCACTGGTTCTGGCTAAGTCAAGGAACTGTGGTCAGAGCAAAAGGGGGTCCTGTGTGTGAAAGATGGGCTGACAAGGGGTCTGAGGCAGTAGGGCAGGAACTTGCCATTTGTTTGCCAAATGAAGTAAAGGAATAAATGATGAGCAAAGAAGTACACAGAAAGCCCTCTTAAAGTATGGGACATTTTTATGACTACGGTAATAAGCACAGTTAGCTTTCATGCAGCTTAGGACCAGGCTAAGCACTTCGCTTACATTGTTGCATTTATCCTCCCAGCAAAGCCAACGGACCCCTGTTTTATAGAGGAAGAAACGGAGGCACAGACCCGTTACGTAGTTTGCCTTGTGTGCAAGGTCATCCAGCTCATAAGAGGTGGAGCAGGGACTTGAACCCGGTTTTGCCCAACTTCAAAGCCTTTGAAGTGGATACAATGCTGTTTTAAGTGGCTCGAGGACTAGAACTGGCCCCAGCAGGCAGGAGCTGCTGGGAGCCAGGTTTGCTCAACCTAAGGATGCTGGTCAAGGTGGAGACGACGGGCTGCCTACCGGTCGCCGAGTTCTCCTCCCCCAGAGGTGTGTGAGCAGCAGGTGGATTCTGTGTGTCAGGCATGGGGGCTGGCCCAGAGGAATGGTTCTCGAATCTGGCTGAGCATCGAAACGTTTGTGGGGTTTGTTGAAAGTGCAGGTGCCGGGGCCTCGCTCCAGGCGGGGCTGGGTGGGCATCTGGGCTTTTGACACGTTCCCAGGAGCAGCTGTGAAGCCAGACTGGCCCTGGAGGGCACTTCAGGGGAAGCTCTTGGCCAACCGCGGGGGATGTTTCCTTCTATGCCCGAGGGGGATCTGATTCTGGGACCCACTTTCCACCTCACGGCTGCATCAGCCCCCCCACCCCCTGCCCCCCACCTCCTGGTTGTGGGGCTTGAGTCTAGCTGTCTTTATCTAGAAATGGAGATAATGGTTCCTATCCCAGAGGGCTGCTGTGAGAAATTAAGGTGATTTGATGTGGTTGGTGCTGCCGGCTCTTAGCCGGGCCCACGGGAGGTGTGCTGTAGCTACGAGGGTCCCCCCAACTTCCCTGGCAGCACATGGGTGAGTAGAAGGTGGGTGGTCTTGCGCTGAGGCATCCAACCTTCCCTTCCTCTCCCCACATTCCTTGCTTCCTGGAGGCCCCCCCCGTCTTCTCTGCCAGGTCCTGCCTCAGGGATGCAGAGACTAGCAGGAGCCTGAGCCTCCCAGAGGGGAGACAAGGGTGGGAAGGTGGTGGAGGGGCAAGGGGAGGGTGCATCTGGAGGGGGAGGGGACACACTGGCTCCTCAGCCCTGTCTGGGTGCTCCCCGTGCCTGGGCCAGGTCCCCTATGGCCCTAGTCCCACCTGGTGCTCTTGGCCTGCAGGGGGCGCCAAGAGCCCAGCTACTGGCTGTGGGCCAGGTCCATGTTTGGGAGGCCACCGGTGAGGGGACAAGGAGTTGGGCCTCAAGTTGGATCCTTTCCTGCTCAGATCCAGACCTGGCCTCTTGAATAAGGGTGGGGTCCCCTATTCCCTGAAGGGCATGGGGGCACAGAGCTGGCCCCTGTTCCCTCTGCATCCAGCCGATGGGCCAGGTCAGGCTGTACAGGCTCCAGGCTCCTGGTGGAGGGAGGTGTTCAAGGGCAGGGCTTCTCTGGGTAGGGAATGCTGGCTGGGGAGGCCTGGCTGAGCTACCAGCCCACAGTGTGACCTTGGGCAAGTCCCTGCCTACCCGGAGCTTGGGTCCTCGTGGGGACACTAAACTGGTGGGTCTGTGAGGCCTTTCCCTCTGTCAGAGTGACAGTCCCTCTTCTACAGATGGGGATGGAGGTGTCCAAGCCTCAAAGGCCTCAGGACCCCCTGCATTGAATGAGAAATAAAGTAGACCAGGGAACCCCTCTCCCCTAGGCTAGACTCAGTGAGGGGAGGCAGCCTGAAATAACCGTCCTACGGCTTTAGGGGCAGGCTGCTGGGTGGCCATGGCCGTGAGTCACTGGGACAGCTTCCAGGAAGAAGCTGAGAACCCTCTTCCGCTGAGGAGTGTGCCTGTGCCCCCCCCCCCCCCCCCCCCGGCACCAGTGCCACCCCCCAGCCCCTGCCTTCATCTGGCTCAACAGCTGTCCCCTTCCATGCAGGAGACACAGCTCCACCCCACCTCGATTCTCCTGGGTCCCAGAGTCTTGCCTGGGAAGGCCTGGCCGCCAGGACTGGACGTGCAGCTGGGAACAGGGCGGAGAGAGTTGGGACCCCGGGCATCACAGGCCCGCACAGCCCGCTTGTTCTGGTGCCCAGCCTCATTTTACAGAGGAGCAAACTGAGGCCCCGAGAGGTGGAGGGACTCACCCAAAGTCACACAGCCAGTGAGCGAGTGGCTGGGAGCTCTGTGTCTCCTGTACCCCGGTTGTGGATCTGCCTTGTTTGACAGCCGTGGGGGCTGACACTACCCTCAATGTCGTGTCCGGCCCATGGCCTCCTCGGGGCCCGGCACAGGTTGTGGCACATAGAAGGTGCTCAATAAATGCCTACAGCGTGATGGAGGGCTCTGTCCCCCTCGGCTCACCTCTTGGCAGAGTCGTCAGGGTAGGGAAGAGCGGGGGTGAGGGAGTAAAATGGGGGCTGCCTTTGCCTTTGAGGGCTGGAGGCTGTGAGAGGCTAGAACCCAAATTTTTCTGGGGGCCTCAGGAATCCCCTCTCTGCACCCTAAGGTGGCTCGGCCTTTTCCCCGGAGACACGTGTGCCACTTGATGACCCTGGAGCTGGGCCGGGCCCAAATGTTGGCTGCACAAGCCATTTCTGGGGGGGCACAGAGAACCCGGGAGTGATCGGTATTGGCTGCCGCTGGGCTAGGTGGCCAGGCCCGTGGAGGGCCTCGACCATCTCTGCTCCTTCTCTCGTTCTGGTTGCCTTGCCCCAGTTTAGGCTTCTTCCTGCCACTGCTGAGTACAGGCTTAGCAATTTGCCACCTGCTGCTCCAGCCACCCAGGACTCTAGCCACAGCCCCGCCATCGATCAGGTTACCCCAGCAGCCCGGGCTGCCCCGGCTGCCGCTGCCAGCCAGCTCGTGCCCCCATCTTCTCCAACGGGGGCTGCGGGTCCCACAGGCCCCTCCCAGGAGGCCCTCCCCGCCGGCCCGTGCCGAAGCCTGCGAGGCTGGAGGGCCCTGGCCCTGCCAGGGAGATCAGATCCTCTCGGCCACCTGCTGTTTTCATTAGAAACTAAAATTAGCTGGGCTTGTCCCAAGCTTTTCCAGGTTTGCTTGCTTTTTAAAAAAAATATACAAATTCCTAGAGAAAAATCCGCACCTCTGCGCCTCCTCTCAGCTCTTACCCTGCGCGTCAAGAGGAGAGGAGACGGGAAATAGCTGGAGCGTTTGGGAGGCCAAGCAGATCAGTGTCGTGGGTCCTGGCCCCGCGGGTATCCAGGTGGGGGCTGGGACGCCAGCCCAGGCCTCTCTGCCCCCTCCCTCTGGCCTCCCTGCCTGCCTGGGCCACATTTAGAGCCTCCTCAGGAGTGGCAGTGCCTGGGACACCAGGGAGGAAGGAGGCCAAGCGGGCGGGAGGAGGAGCCGGAAGGAACCGGAGTGCCTGCCGAACAGTGAGCCGCCTGGGGAGACACGGCCGCGTGAAGGCAAGCATGCCACGGGTCCCACCCAGGACCACGTTCTCTCCGGGGGTGGCCAGCACCTGGCTCCCCGGGTCCCCATCATGCCCCTCAGCTGTTCTCGGGCCTCCGGATGTTTCTGCACCCACGGTCTCTGAATCCCGAGGCCCTGTCCTGGAGACCTATCATTTCGCACGGCCCACAGGGTGGCACACTGTGCGAGAGAGATGGCAGACTGGGTCAGAATCCCAGCTCTGTGTTCCCGGAGGCAGGTTAGCGAGCATCTCTGAACCTCAGTGTCTTCATCTGCTGTAGAATGGGGAGAATAATAGTTCTCACCTCAAGAGACATCAACGGATTAAATGTTCACATAGTAGCCACTGCTCCCCGGTTGGCAACATTACCAAGTCCTATTGATCATCACTGTGGTCATTAAGGTGTTTACCGTCATCACCTTCATCATCACTGCCACCTCAAAGCCCCTGCGCAGTCCCTCGAGCTGGGCCCTCTGCTGGACTGCAGAACAGTCCTGTTCACTGGTCTTCTTTTGCTCGGCTCTTTTAGACGGGGGTTCACCAGCCTGAGGGAAAGACACACCCCCACTGGGAAGGGCAGACACTTCGGCCTCCATCCCCACTGCAGAGCTTGGACACAGCTTGCTCCGATGGAGCACGCAGAGCTGAAGGATGCTTGCCGGTGACCTGGGCCCACTGGTCGGACCCTCCAGGGACCAGGGATCCAACAGGTGGGACACAAGTGGGTGCTTTAGGAGATCAGAGGCTGGGGCACCGTGGTGAGGGGGCTAGGGACAGGGGGGTCCAGTGCAGGCTCAGTGTGTCTGGGGGACTTGGGAGCCCTTTGCGGGACAAGATTGACAGGAAGGGAGGGACCTCATGTCCCCTGTCACCTGTGCTCTTCAAACAACAGCCACATGCTTTAACATATCCTTAGTGCAGCCACGCAGGGTTGGCCAGGACGGTATCATCGCCCTCCATTTTACAGATGAGGTTCCGGGAGGCATGTGTTCAAGGCCATGCAGCCAGTCAGGGCTGGGCAGCATTTGAACACAGGTCATTCTGGCTCCTAAGCCTGGGTTGGCGGATCAGGCTCCAAAGATGGAGTGGGGTAGTGACAATGATTTGAGGAAGGTGGCTTCATTCTTGCATTGCTGAGACCTTCTGCAGTCCCAGGGCTTTTGGGGACCACAGCAAAGGCGTCTGCTCTGCTTTTAGGAACAAAGGATACTGGGGAGGGAAGTGTCTCAGCGTGGGCAACCTGGACGGCTTCTGGGGCCATGGAAGGGGCTGCTGCTACTGGCCTGAAAGTCCTGGAGGGGCAGCCAGTAAGGAGGGGTCAGCCTTGGAGACACAGTGGTTGTAGGGGTGGTGGGCACAGCCTCCCCTCCACCTTCTCCCCGGCCTTGGCAGAACTCTGGAGTCCTCCGTGCCCAGGTCAAGTTCTCTCTCCCCCAAGCGCCTCTCCTCAGCGGGGGGGGGGGGGGGGGGCAGATGATGGCCTTTCCTGGAGCCCAAGTCCCTACTCCTGTACCTCGGGGCACTATTCCCCCTCCTCCTGTCTCCTGGGACCCCTCGCTTCCTTTGCTCTCCATCCTCAGAAGCCTCAGCAGCCCCTGTTTTTGTCTTTTCACTTCCCAGTTTCCTTTGCTTTCCCCCACCTGGTAGCCCAGCTCCTACGTGTCATTCCTGAGGGCTTCCTGAGTGGGAGCCCCCCTCCCACTCACCACCTCACAGTATTTGTTCCTGAGGAGCCGGTGGCTGACTCAGGGCCGGCAAGTAGCCACTCAGACCTTAGCTGGATGGCCCCAGAGCTGCACCAGAAGGTACGAATTTTCCTTCTCTCCGCAGGGCAGGTGTGATTGTGGGGGTGAGTGGGCATCAAAGTTAGGGCACTTCCTGACCTTGCCTTGCCTCCTGTTTGCCAGAAGAGAGCTTCTCCCTTGCAAAGACCCACCCGACGCTTGTCCCCTGAGTGCCTCTCTCGCCTTTGTAGCCACTGAAGCGTTCATCCTCTCCCGCTCGGCTGAGGGAGCCCAGGGGGTGGGAGCGAGGAGGGGTGGCTGAAACCCCAGCTGAGCTGTCCAGGGCAGGAGCTGGCTTCCTAGAGCGGGGCTCATGCTCTGGTGGCTCCAGGTTGCTAGTGACTTCCTTGGCTTTGGCAGATCCCTTCTGAAGGCACCGTTTCCCGGAGAGCCTGTGGCCAAACCCGCGCCCCCATCCCAACAAGGCAGCTAGGACAACTTTGGTTCCTTCCTCGCTCCAGTCGCTCGTAACCTCCCATAGAGGATGACAGGCTAGGGTGTGGGGCTGCAGGGAAAGTCCTGGGAAGACAGGCAGGAGACTTGGGATGCAGTTCCACCTCTATCACTAAGGTGCCCTGTGGCCCCAAGAGCCCACCACAGTGCCTGGTGGGGCGAGTCTTGACAAGCAAGCATTTGCCATGACTGAATGGGGCTTTTTCCAGGCATGCCCCTGCTCGGAGGTTCAGGGTCCCTGCAAGGGTTGAATGGGTAATCTCCCGGGACCCTTCAAATTCTGATGGCCGTGACTTGGCCCTCGATTCCCCGGCGTGCCAGGACCACCAGGACCCCGACTCGAGAGGAATGCCCTGCTGTTACCGGCCCTTGAGGAAGAGTTCCTGGAACCCAGTCCTGCCATGATAGGTCCCGTGTGTGAACAGAGTGAGAAATAGGGTCTGAAAGAACCATCCAGGAGTCACAGCAGGAAGAGGCCCCTGGAGTCTCAGCAGAAATTTCCCGCTGCTTCTAATGGGCCTCTCCAAAGTTCCCTTGTGAGCTGTGAGCTGCTAGCTGTTGGGAGGTTCCTTCCCTCCTTGAGCACATGCCTCCCTCCTCCTACCCACCTTCCTTCCCTCTCTGCTCAGACCAGGTCCCCTCCACGGTGGGGTTTGTGACTTGGTCAGGGGAACTTTTAGAACGTAGTTGGGTTTAAAGTTTGCCAGGAGATGGGGGAGGTGGGGAGGGGCTTGGATGGGGAAAGGGGGAGCTGGTGGGGGTCACAGCAGGGAGCGAGCCTTCCCCTGGGTTTGGCTGGATCACAGAAGACGCAGTTCAGGACTCAGAGATAAAACCTGGCAACTCCTGAGGCCATCTGGACCGCAACCATGGGGTCGCGGCTTTGCCTTCCAGCTGAGTTTGCTGAGCAAACGGCAGCGGCTCTGGCAAGCTGGTTTGCAGTGGGGGTGACTGGAGGGGCCGGAGGGGCAGCTGTCACCCCCGTCCGCGGCTCCCTGGCCAACCCTGTGCCCAGTTGGCTCAGGCCAAGCCCTTCTTCCCAGAGGGAAGAACAAGAAAAGGAGTCTTGTCGTAAATGCTCAGCTTTGCAAACGCACCCACAGGGCCCGAGTTGGGCGAGTTTCAACAGGTTTGGGGAACACTGTCTTGTCAGATGCTTGCTGAGTTGCTCAATTGCTAATCCCAGGCTGAGGGAAGAAAGTCAAGCCATAGCAGACAGCTGGGTGATGACTGCCGCCTGAGTAAACCCCTCAGGCAGAGCCTGGTCTTCGGGCTCTGCCACGGAGGGTGAGGGAGAGAAAGGGCTTAGGCAGGATCTGGGGGGGGGGGGGGCCGGTGCACCCGGGCAGGGGAGCTACGGGGGCCAGAGTAGCAGATCTGCTGGGTGACAGACAGCCACACTCCCTGACACTCACGTTGGCCCATCTTAGCATCACCTGAGACTCAGGGGGTTACAGTGGAGCTTCCCTCCTACTCGAGGTCTCTAAGATCGGGCACCATTTGACAAAAACTTACAGCCCTCTGGAGCGAACAAGCCTTTCCCCTTTTCACCCATCAGATACTGACTGAGCACCTAAGCACACTTGACATTCAGGTTTTATAACCTCGTAGAAGTACAAAGCCACCCTACTGGACTGTAGTTACATACAGTACGAAACTGTCCTATAGGCAGGGGGATAAAAGCCAGGAGATGGGGACATGCGAGAGCACGTCAAGCTCAAGTCCTGATTCTGATTTGCAGAATGTCCTTGGGGAAGCAGCTGCACCTCTGGGCCTCTGAAGCGAGATTGAAAAGAATACAGACCCCTTGTTCCAAAAGTGGGAAGGGAGAGGTTACACGGTTCTAATAGGGTCACGGGTGTGAAAGTGCTTCATAAACCACTGATTCTCAATGGGGGGTAATCTTGTCCCCCAAGGGGACATTTGGCCATGTCTAGAGCACCTGGGGATATGCTACTGGCATCTAGTAGGAGAAGCCAGGGATGCTGCTGAACATCATACAACGCACAAGACGGGCCCAAAATATCAACGGTGCAGTTTGGGAAATCCTGGCATAAACTATAAAGGGCTGTGGATGCGTGAGTGATTGATGGGACGCCCAGAGTCAGGGGAGGAGCACCAAGGAGGGGGGTTTACTATCTAGAAGGGAGGGAGGGATCCTTTATAGCTGGGGATCGGGAGGCTCTTCCTGGGGGAGATGTGCCACACACCTTCACCTGTGGGACTGGCTCTGCCCACACCTGGCCCAGTGAGTTGCACCCAGAGTGTCAGGCCTCAGTCTGCTCATGGTCAAGGAGGTCACCGGCTGTGGCCCCCCTTGCTGGGCAAATAGGCACACGGGAGCTTGGACCAGAGATGCACACCTGTGGGGAGTCAGATGCAGTGAGGGTGAGATGCTTCCCCCAGCCGCCCTGAAGGGCGCTCCCAGACACAACTCCTCTGGCCACCAGGATTTGCCTGTGAGCCGGGCCGGACCTCCCTGGCTTTGTGAGGCTCTTGCAGGAGCCCTGGTTGAAGAGCAGGGAGGCGGCAGCCGATGACCCTACCTGTGTGACCCGTGTAAGAGCACAGGATCCCGACAGAGCAGTCTGGGGTAAACAGGGCTTGCGAGCAGCAGGCTGAAGGCTCATTCTCTCCATCGTCCCTATAAACAAGGACACGACTCCCCCATCGCACCAACAGCCGCCCTCCACCTCCAGCAGCAGCCATGCCGGCCATTCCCAGCGCAAGCGTGCCTGGCACTGCGCTCGGTGTGCTATGTGCACGAGCTCACACTTGCCTCACTACCGTCCAAGAGTGGGTGCCACTTATATACAGATGAGGAACTTGAGGTTAAGTAACCTGTCTGTCGTCACTCAGCCGGTCAGCGGCAGACCTGGGATGGACCTGCGGGCTGTCTTGGAGACCTGGTTCTTAGCCACTCTGTTGGACTATCTCTGAGTGTGGAACGGCCCCCCCTACCCTCATCTGGTGGGCCTCTGCTGGGGCCCCAGCCCGGTGCACCACTGCCCTTTCTTCAGGAAATCCACAATAACGAAGCCCTCGCCAAGCTATTCCCTGACTCTTCCCAGTACTTTCATTTGGAGTTCAGAGCTATCCGCCGAGGACTGTGGCCCAGAGGGCAGGAGAGGCCCACCCAGAACCAGCCAGCTTGGGAGGCAGAGCCGGGACTGGAACCCCGGACTCTCAACTCCCAGCACGCCCAGTGTCAGAGGGAACTTTTCAGGGCCGTTTCTGAGCCCATCTTTCAGAGACAGAGCCAGGCCTTTCGCCGACGGACTGTTTTCATCTATCCATCCCTCCCTCGGTGGTGGGAGCTGCCACAAGCTGCCGGCTCGCCTGGGGTGCCAGACATGAGTCTGATCGGCAGCTTTCAGCTTCTCTGGGCTTGCCCGGGCCTCAGGCTGGGGAGCCCTCCCAGCTCCAGGCTCCGTCCTGCCCGACAGCTGCACGCAGTGGGACACCTGGCCTCCCCGGCAGGCCACCGCCCTTCTGAGACAACAGACAGCATCGTCTCTCGCAACCGGCCAGCCAGCCGACCCTGGACTAAAGCCTGACTCCAGGTACTTGAACGGGAATGGACACCCAGGCTTTGCCCCTCTGAGAACATTGCCAGCCGCCCTCTGGGGACCAGACGTCCACCGTGACTCAGACTTGAAAAAAATAGTGCCAGCCACCCTGCCTGGGTGGACATCTGCCTGCCCACAGCTCTTCCTTCTAAAGGCAGCTTTTGGGTCAGGTGCCCCTGCCATTTACTAACTAGGTGACTTTGGGCAGTGACCTCTGTGATCCCCAGTCTTCCCATCTGTGGAACGAGATTCAGATGTTGTCAGGATTTAGGTAATGCGCTGGGAGCTATCACAATACTGATTACTACTGTTGTCGTGATTCTGCCACCTCCAGGCCAAGTCCCCTCTGTGACTGCTCCAGCTCGCACCAAACCTTTCCTCTGATGGCGCTAGCCCCACCCATTCATGTTTTTGCTTCTGTCCCGTCTTTCTAGACCCCAAGGTCCTTGGAGACCAGGCTGTGAGTGGGCTCGGTCCCTGTCTCAGGGATGGAGGTTGATAAATACAAGACGAATGACCCCGTCTTGGAATGTGCCCAGAGATCTCTTCTCCATCACTGCCCCTCTGGTTTGGTAGGGGTCCCGGGAAGCCCCTTATGCTTTCCGTCTTGGGCTGTGCAGAGACCCTTGGCTCAGAGCCCGGGGTGGAGCAGGAGCGAGCTGGGTCATCCAGAGACCTGCTTCGTGGCAACCTGAGCCATCACCACCGCAGAGAACAGGTTTGCCAACCTCTCTTCTCCCTCCAGGCCGCCCCTCCTCACCCCGCCCCCCTCGCGGGAGTTGTTGGAATTCCCCCATGGTTTTGCGCGACCCAAAGCTGGGACTGCCTCCCTGGCTGGGATTTTGGGTTTGGACGTGGCTGAGGGTGGCTGGTGACACCACCTGGGCCACACTGGCTCAACCTTGGGACGGCTTCAGGGAAGGGGTATGTCAAGGCCTGGGGAGCAGCACCTGGGTTCAGTTCTCTGAGTTTGGGCAAGCAGCTTCCCCTCCTGGGGCCTCAGTTTCCTCATCTGTAAAAGGAGCTCAAACACTGGATGCTCTTGAGGGACTTTTCCCTATGGATGCTGCTCTCTTCCCTGAAGGCCTGGGTCCGATTCTGGAACTGCCACTTTGTTGTCCTCCTCTTCGGAGCCCTTGGCACTGGGTGGGCCAGCCCCAGTTCTTGTTCTTCTGATGCTCACGCTCACTTTGGAGACCCTGGCTCTGAACCCCTGCTTTCAAGGGTCAGCTCTGGGGACCCCAGAACCCCCGGTTCCAAATCAGCTTCCCTCCTCCTCGTCTCTGCGACCTAGTCCCCACTCAGGAGGCTGGCCTGCGGAGGGGAACGGGAGGAGGTGAGAGTGCCCTGGTTCCTGTAGCTTTGCCACTGCCCCTGAAGTGTTAATCAAATTAAGTCTCCAAGAAAAACAAAAGCTGTGCAGCCACTTCGGGCTGCCTTGGAGTCGCTCGCTCTCCCAACAGCTGGGAGAATTCCACATCACCTCGGTCCCCCAAGCCCTGGGTGGCTCTGACCCCAACGAACACACTCCTTCCAGCCTGCAGGGCTCCGGCTGGCCGCAATGACCTCATAGCAACAGCCATTGGACACTCGGGGCAATTTCATGGGAGATATTTGTTCTTTAGTCTTGATGCAGAGGGAATTTTTTCCTCTCCCGCTGTCTCCATGGAAACCCCAGCTACACTGTTGGCCATCCCCCTTCCCACCTCATGCTTTTCAGATCAATATTGGAGCTTGGCTCCCCACTGGCTGCCCACAGCCGATGGGGGCAGAGCTCTGGGCAGAAGGAACTGGGGCCAGAGTTAAGCCTGGGGCGGGGGGAACCGTCACTGATGGGGGGATGAAGAAGGGCTCCGGAGTCTTCTCCCTTCCCTGTTCATCTACTCACCAAAGCTCATCCCTTTAGAACCCCCGCCTCCTCCACCTGAGACCCCTCAGTGAGCCCTCTGTCCCTTCCCAGGGAGTCACCTGAGCCAGGCCCAGCAACAGAGAAACAGGCCACCAGCGGTCACCCCCGGCCACCCTCCTCCTTAGGTAGAAACACAGAGAGGTGCTGGGCTGTTGTCTTCTTCAAGGGCTGGACAGAGTTTCTTCCTGCCCCAGGGAGGAAAAGGCCGGCCACCTCCGGCCACAGGCTCTCTGAGGCTGGGTGTCCCGGTCCCTTCCCTCTTTCTACCCCTGGCTCCCGCCCCCCAAGCAGAAACAGGTCCCTGCACGCCTCCAGCCCAGCCCGCAGCTCGGCGCAGCTCGGCGCGGGGAGCTCGCTCCTGGACTGCTCGGGATTAACCTGCTATTAGGACCCAGACTCCTACCCCGTAATGGGCTTCCCCGGCGACCTGTCAGCCGAGCCCGGTCTGCGCTAGGAGCCTGGCGCCCCACCCCGGCCGCCGCCCCGCGCTCGTACCCTCGCGCTCTCGGGCGCCCCAGGCCGCCTATGGGTGCGGATGCCGCCACCACCCCTGCCGCCTCTGGGCTGGGAGCCGCACCCGGGCAGGAGCGGTGCCCAGAGGGAGGCCCAGGCGGCGGCGGCGGCGGCGGCGGCGGCGGCGGCAGCGGAGAGGGCGAGCGAGCCTCGCGGCCCCCGGCCGAGACACCTT